TGAGGTGAATCCCAGATGAAAGGAAGAACATTACAAAGCTAATCATATTTCTCTTTTTCTTTTTTTTTTTTTTTTTTTTTTTTTTTTTTTTTCCTTTGTAAACCTGGAAGGAAAAATTCCATGCCTGATATCTGCATGTACTTCTGCACTCTGTGAAAAGAGATGCAGGACAGGCACAACACAAAAAGGAAAAGAGGTATCAGGAAAAAGAAAAGGAGCAGTGTCAAAAAAGTGATTTCTATGGAGCTAGTAATAAACTGGACAAGTATAAAAGTAAACTTGCACTACAAAATCCATACCATACTTGTATTATTCAGAAATTGGTTTAGGTTTCTAAATTAAAAATATTTTTGTAAGATTCCCACTAGTTAAAAGAACACATCTTGTCAAATTATATCTCTGATTCCTCTCATTACTTTGAGGAAGTAGTCTGGGATATGTCCAGACACCCTAAATTCCATCCAAGCCCCTGTGCTACTCAATACAGAAATCCTAGAGCTCCAAACACCTAATTCAGAAAGCTTGTGGAATGTGTGTGACACAAAGCAATTTATGTTCCCAGAATACAGCTCTTGTACCCTTCATGACCTAATTTCCCCATCTGTAAGATAAGCACTGTGATATTTGTGTCTCTTGTAAGGGTGTTAAAAAGCTTATTTTAAAATTGATTCTAGCATTTGCTTTTTATATACCTTGTATGGGAACTGTTACAAAACTAAAAAATATTTTAAATTATTAACACAATAATATTTCTGGAGCTTACTTTTACGGAGAAGCATAAGCTAGTAAAAAATAAATATCAATTCATATATTGAAAATGCACAGTATATAAAAAAAAAAAAAAGAATCATCATTTTCAGGCATCATTATAATTATATATATACTTATTATCTTTCAAAACAACTCATCAGCTCTGAGAAGAATGACATAAATTTCTTTGTGATTGGACAGAAATTGACAAAATACAAGGATTTCAGTTGTCAGCATCTTATCTATCCTTCAATTTTATTCATATACTATTTATACAGGATTAAAGAAAATTAACATTACTTTGTGACGGTAGAAATATTTCATGATCAGTGAAGATCTAGAAGGAAAAATGAAAGAATTATTTTCTCCTGTATTTATTCTGAGAAAACAGAATTGGTATGAACACTGCCAGGTATGGCATTTTATACTGACAGAAAATTTGATTTCTTTCAGTGTCTGAGTGAATGCTGGATTCAACCTCACCTTTAACTACCACCTATGTCTATTTGAAGAAATGTAATCTGGCCCAGAAGTCATGTTCTGTGTAGAGATGGAGACCCATACACAAACAATCGTCTGAGTTTTAGTATACATACTCATGTAAAAGAAAAAGTGATATTTTTAAGTGATGATTTTCCTTCTGTGTTGTCTTAAAGCGTGGGATATGCAAGGTGTTAATGTGTAGATTTACCAAAAGAAAAATATCTACAAGAATGACAGGAGAACATGTCAAAAAGACATAAAAATATGTATACTAGGAATAGTTCACATCGAGAAATGCTATTGCTAACTTTTGTATGAACAAACAGGGAGATAGAGTTACATCCTCCAAGCATTTATGATCTTCCAATCAATCTCACTGAGTTATGAGTACCCTTCAAGAGAAAAGCTATATATCTGTGAATGTTTTTAGCAACAGTAATTTAAGCAAGCCTGGAAGTGTAAGTCTGACATTTGACATTTGACTGATTTTCTTTCTTGCTAACCTTTGTACTGAGCCACAGGGTCTAATGTGCCCTCATTTACATCTCTGTTCTCAAGTCTTGTACACTTTTCCCAGGCTTGTCACATACCTTTAATCTTACTTATTCCTATTGTTAATTTTCCCCATGCAAGTCTTCTTCCCTGACATGACACCTGAAGCAATCCCTGGGGCGTCTCCACTCTCTACATGCCCCCAGTCCATATTTAGTGGAAGGAAAGAGACATTTTGAAGCAGCATATTTAAGGATCTCTAAGAACATAAAAATGTAAGACCAAGTATAATGAGTCAAAAAGGTCCCTGTAATGTCTCCAACATCAGTCAAGACTGGATGCCAATGAAAAAGTGCAATGTCAGAGCAAGAATGTATGATCCTACCTCTAATCTCTCTCCCAGCCACTTACTAATTGAGGATAAAAAAAGTTTTTGAGACAGGAGTGTTTTCCATGCATCTACTGCATGAAATTGATGTTTTTTTTTCTTGCAAACTTGTCCAGTCTCCTCTTAATCACTTCTCAGTTTTTAGTATCTGCAATATCTCTCGGAAAGGAGTTCCACAGCTGAATTTCTCTGCTTATATCTAGAAAATCCCAAGAAGAAATACATGCTAGGAGTACACTGGTGTTGCAGTCCATGACTAATAATCATTCTTGTAAAGGGGACAAATATGGAACAAATGAATGGTATTGTGTAGTGGCAGCAGAGAAGACCTCGCTGGTAAGTCTGTGTTTGATCCCTGAGTGAGATCTGCATTTTCTTGTCATGTAGCTGAACATGTGTGAAGCTTTATGCTGTTTCACAGGTTGTACCTGCCTTGGAAACACACCAACAGCAATGTTTCTCAAAGCCTATATCCTTCAAGTTTGTTGGAGAGTGCTTTCCTCTCTTCTTCTCCTCACATGGAAATATACATGTAAAAGAAGACAATAAATTAGTATTCTTTTGTTTTGTAATGTCTCATTGTCGTGGTTTGAGCCTGGTCATCAACCAACGACCACAGCTGGTCACCCTACCTTCCCCCTCTGCACCTGGGAACTGGGGAGGGGATTAGAGGGGTGAAGGGAGACTCGCAGGCTGAAATAAGAACAGTTTAATAATGGCAATAAAATTAGAACAATGACGATGATAGGGGGAAAACAAAAAGAAATGTATAAACAGGCAATGTACAGCGTAATTGCTCATCACCCGCTAACCAATATCCAGCCCGTTCCCGGCCAGCGACCCCGAGATACCAAGATCCCACAATCGCAATCCCGGAAGCGAGACAGCCCCTTCCCAACCACCCCTCCTTTATATAGTGAGCATGACGTGCCATGATATGGAATATTTCCTTGGACAATTAGGGTCAGGTGCTGTGGCCATGCTCCCTCCCTGCTCCCTGTGTCCTTGCGCACTGGCAGAACATGGGGAATCAGAGAGTCCTTGAAGTCTCAGCAGCAGCTGAAAACATCAGTGTGCTATCAGCGTTCTTCTTATACCAAACCCAAAGCTAAATCCAAAACACAGCACTCATCTAGTCTCTGAAAAGGAATATTAAATCTATTTCAGCCCAAACCAAGACACTCATCTGTTTTGTAGAAAAGTGAGGAAAGGAAATGACTCCACTCTGTAGGACTTTCTTAAACTGGCATCTTTCTACTAATAGCTAGCAAGACTCATCCTCCAAGTGTGGATTAAGTCCCCCATTCATCCTCTCTTGCTTTTTGGATGTGCAAGGTCTGAAAGTGACTCTTTTGCACTGGAGAAAAACCATGATCCCTAAATTACAGACAGCAGCAGGATTATCCTCAAAATAGAAGAAATAACAAGCCAGCTAGGCTAACATGGAGCCTGTGTAAGAGCTAGCAAATGTAAAATAAAATGTCTGCAAAATAACCTTATGATATTTAGTCAAAGGATCAGACTCACTTGAAATTATCCTATTAATGCACATTTACAGGGCAAGAGGCCTGCAAATATAGATGTCAAGGGAAAATTAGAGCTATGAAAATATCTAACACACACTGAGGAATGGGGAGGGTGGGGAGCTTTCTGATAATGGAGCTAGAGCGAAAAAAAAAAAAAAAAAAAGCTGTCTTGGTTTTAAGGTGACGCTTCCTGTCATCTTTTTCCCTCTCTTCCTTGACTGAATGTGGCCATTAATTGTGTGAATCGAACAGTTGCTATGGCTAAATTGGACAGGAACCTCAGGAGGTCAAAGCATCCCTGCTTGTTAAAGCTACTGCCACGTTTTACAGTTTTACAAAATGTCAGAGTCCATCATGTTGCAACTTTGCTGCTGAGGATCCTGTCTCATAAAACAGTTGCTTTATGAAACTTTCAGGTAAAATCTCAAATCTGCAACTGAGTCAAAACTTCCCCCTCTTCTTTTCACTTCTCTTTACATTTTTGCTTACAAGCTTGTCATAACCCTATGAAAGTTTCTTTTCCTTTTTACTGTATCCTTTTTTTTTTTTTTTTTTTTCAGGCAGAACCGTAGGTTCAGAGGACTTGAGTGACAGCCACCTCTGTTGCTTTCCCACCATTGCAACACCTCAGATTGTTAGAAATGGGCAATTAATATAACCACTAGGGTTTAAAATTTGACATTCAACTTCTGCTGTGCCTCTATGGCCATGAACAGCTGTCTTCCTTCCAAGGGAAACACAGAAATGTGTAGTATCCGTTATCCCAATGAACTGAGTTCTCTCTCAAGCACTCTGTGATGGTAGTTTCATTTCATTCTACTTTTTTCAGCTCCAAGATAGCAGTGCTCTGAGATGAATTCATACAATAGAAAGACTAAGAGGTATTTTAAGCACTGTCCTAAATAATGACACCTCTAATCCACAGCATAACACAACCAGTTCTCAATGTTTCTGTGATCTAGTAATAGTTGTGATATTTCATCACATAAAAATTCTGTTTGTATTTGGAAAAATAAATTTTTATTATGGTACCTTGTGCTAGGGTTTCATAGAAGCACAGAATGGTTTGGGTCGGAAGGGACCTTTAATGGTCAGCTAGTTCCAACCCCCCCGCCATGGGCAGGGACACCTTCCACTAGACCAGGTTGCTCAAAGCCCTGTCTAATCTGGCCTTGCACAATTCCAGAGATATGGCATCCACAACCACTTTCGGCAACCTGTTCCAGTGTCTCACCACCCTCATAATAAAAAATTTCTTCCTTACATCTAATCTAAATCTACCCTATTTAGCTTAAAACCATTGCCACTTGTCTTATCGCTAGAGGCCTTTGTAAAAAGTCTCTCTTCATCCTTCTTTTTAGCCCTTAAGTATTGAAAGGCCTCAGTAAGGTGTCCCCAAAACATTCTCTTCTCCAGGATGAACAACCACAACTCTCTCAGTCTTTCTTCATAGGAAACATGTTTCAGACCTCTGATCATAATACTATTTTTTATTTTGTAAGTGCTGATATTTCTTGCAGCAGAATTGTTTTTTTAATGTTTCAATAATCCTGGAAGTTGATGTTCTTCACTTTACTTTCCATTTTTTCGTCATGACCATTTCAGCAAGAAATTTTTTTTTCTGGAGTGTGAACCGGGATCCTTATGTCCATTCTGATAATTGAAATATAAAAAGGAGAATGCTTTGCTGAACTCCCACACCAAACCTGGTGCAGAGGATGGAGAATAAGAAACAAGACTTCTTTTTTTCCTGTCCTGCATGTGATTTCATCTCTTTTATGATTACCATTGGGACAGAGATTGGTGTATGTTTTCAGGAAGATCAAAACATAACTTTCAACATCTTTTACTTTTTAAGTTGAGGATGGGTATGCTGAAATGTTATGAAAACAAGTGCTGACTCCTCTGCTATGAAATATGCTTCTTTCTAAAATTTGTGTTGTCGAAGAAGCTCTGAACCCCTCTCTGGGCAAGGGTTTCATTGCTCTGAGTATTAAATAACAGCTGCAATAACTCTATTATCCTTGTCATGAAGAACAAGACCCTAGAAGCAATTCTGTGCATCAGCTGAAGATGCTACTGTGTCCCAGGAGCTATGCCCCCACTAGAAATCTAAACATTATCACAATAAAGTCCTGAATACTGTGCTGTATTCAACTGTGTTTAAGTTATAGTAGTTAATAGCTAGCATGCTTCTTGTATGTTTTTAGCCCATGACAACATATCCCAGGGTCCTAGATATTCAGAAATATGTGTAGCATAAAAAACCAATGTTCTCAATAGGCATCAAGGATCAGACCACATGATTCTGGTGGGAAAGCAGGTTTAGCTGCATAGGTACAAGCTAATGCACTGTTGGGGTGCCTTGAAACTGGGATCCATTATTGGATCAGTACAGATGCAGGTAGTGTCCCATTACCCAAGAGTCCTGGGTTTGAGTGGTGGAGTTTTTTGGTAGCAGGGGAGGAGGCTATAGGGGCAGCCCCTGTGAGAAGCTTCTCAAAGCTCCCCCAGATCCAAGTCAGCTCCACCTCTGCACCAAGGCTGAGCCAATCAGCTGTACCTCTGTGATAACATATTTAAGAAGGGACATGGTGAGGATGAGTTGGACTTGTGAGGAGGAGTTGCAGCAGCTGCATGAACACCAAGGTCAGTGGAGGAACGGAGGAAGAAAGGAAAGGGGAGGTGTGCCAGAGCAGAGACCCCCCTGTATCCTGTGGGGAGACAATGGGGTGCCCCCCCCTGCTACCCATGAAGATCTACGGTGGAGCAGACACTGATTTATAGCCTGTGTTTAACATGGATGATCAAGGTGCTGTGTCTGAAGAAGGCTAGGGTCTTGTGGGAGAAGGTAGACCCCCGCTGTTATAGTTCAGCACTGGGACAGCTGCAGCATGCAGAGGTTGTCCCATGCCAGAGCAGCTCAGGAAGGGCTGCAGCCGTAGAGGGACTCATGTTGGAGAAAGTTTGTGGAGGAATGTCTCTTATGAGACGGGGACCACGATGGATCAGGGGGAAGAAGTTCCAGAAGCTACCCCTACAGAAGATGGAAGAAACAGCAGCACTCACTGCACCCTCCATTCCCTCCACCTGCACCACTGGGGGGAGGAGTAGAGATATCAGGAGCAGAGCTGAGCCCGGGAGGAAGGGAGGGGTGGGGGGAAGGTGTTCTCTAGATGTGGTAATGCTTCTCACTGTCCTACTCTGTTAAGTGTTGTTAGTGTCTGTAATAAATGCATGTTCTTTTTGTTCTTCCCCTAACGAGTCTGCCTTTTGCTCGTGATCATAATAGGTGGTCTACCCCTCCTGGTCCTGTCTTAATTCCCGAGCCTTCTTATTGCTGAGATAAAAGGGAGGAATGAGTGGCTATGTGGTGCTCAGTTGCTCTCTGAGCTCAAACAATAGCAAGCAAGCTCCAAAGGTGCTCCAAGTTAATAAAATTAAAGGATATCTTTTCATCAGTCACATAACATCTAGAGATAATTGATAGTGAAAGGATCATTGTTTCTCTAGAAAAAATCACTTTAAAATTGTGAACTCTGAGAAGCTCCAGTGAGTAGTAACTGAGGAAGAGCTATGGAACATCATTGTCCAAACAGAGGATGCATTTTTCAATATTTGTTGAGTCACGCTGACTGGGAGACTGAAGAGAATATATTTTAATTAGTAGCAGTATTGTTTTTAAGATGAGCATATGCATATGTACACAATAGTCTTGTTTTCAGGAGTAGCATCACAAGACATTATAGAACATGTGCAAAAATCTATCTGTAGAAGAGTGACTCTTTATGTGCGTGTGTGGTAATCATAATCAGTCACACTGTATTTCTGCCTTGGGATACACAAACTGAAAGAAAGGTTGAGAACCACTGTTATAGATAATCCTCTGTAATGATCTTCTTTTCTTCAGGACAATCTTGACAACAGCACCTTGCCCTAGGAAAGTTTTCTTTGATCCATTTTGTGACTGAAATACAAATTCTCTATTTTTCATTTACTTCTCTTCAAATTAATGATCCCTGCAATAAGGATGCCCTGACCAGGAGTGGTTTCTCCAAACAGATTAAAAGAAATAACAAAGCTAAAACTCAGGATTGGGAATTGGGTCAGAAAGGTGGGAGGGTGCTTGGTCTATATTTGCTTTTCTATCTGCTTTTTTAAGGATGCTGTCATGTTCTGTTACACAGATCATCTATTTGATATTGTTTCACTTACCAAGGATATAGACAATCAGCATTTTTAGGAGCAGAGGAGAGATGAGGATTTTTAAGGCATAATGGTTCATTAGAGAGACAATATTCATTAAAAAATTATGCAAAGTAATGTATGAACATTCATACAAAAAGCAAACTGATAGCAGATCTCTGTGGCCTAGTAAAGTTATCTACAGTTTGGTAAAAAACATGTCTCTTTGTGGCTGTGTTAAAGAATCTGATAAATTTGTCCACTGCTGATATAACTATACAAAATAATTGCAAGTTCTAGACAGCTGAATCCCAATCAAGTATCCTAAATACATTCCTCATGCCATTTGAGATGCCTGATAACATTCAAGACTTTTGCACGGATATAATAAATTTAACACAGAATTACAGGAGACCAAGGCTCCTCTGGAGTCGCAGCAAGAGAAGAGTGAAATATTTCATTCACTTAAAATAGCAGCATACACGTATACATCAGCTTTATAGCCTAGATGTACTTTTTTTGTGACTCTGTCTTTTTGCATTCTTTTGTCTTAAAACTTAAATATAAAATACATTAAAAAACCAAAACCGAAACAACAAAAAACATCCCATCCACGGGACTTTCCTTATGTCAAACTTTGTCTTCCTGGATTTTTTTTTTTCTCCTTTTCCTCAAAAGGGGGCAGTTGATCACGATGACAGGACGGTCAGCATGAGGACTTGAGGACTTCTTTACTGACTGACTGCTGTCCCCCAAATCCCTCAAATTCCATGCTGTAACTAGAAACAAAGGCAAATAGTACTTAATCATATCCTTTTCAGGTTCAGACTACTTCACCTACAATTTTCCTTCAGCATAATCAAAAGGACACAGCATCTGGAAATGTAAGTCTGAATTCACACAATGGCTGAGTCTAGAGAGATCACTGGAGACTGTCTATGTCCAAAACTCAGGACCACGTCCAGTCAGGTTTTGAATAGCTTCAAGGATGGAGACTCCACAATCTTCCTGGGCAAACTGTGTCAGTGTTTGACCAACATTACTGGAAAAAAACCAAACCAAACCAAACCAAAACAAACAAACAAACAAAAAAACCACACACACCAAAAAAAAAACCACAAAAACAAAAACAAAAACACAAAAACACAAAGCCCCAAACTGAAACAAACCAAAAAAACACAAACTAACCCAAACAATTTTCTAACATTGAAAATACAATTTCCTGCATTTCAGCTTGTCCCCTTTGCTTCATGTCCTGTCAATGGGCACCACTGACAAGAGTCTGCCACCACTTTATTTAGTCTCCCACATTCCCCACCAGATATTTGTGCACATGGATAAGATCCCTCAGAGCTTTCATTTCTCCAGGCTGAACTGTCCGAGCCCTCACAGCCTCTTCTCATTAACCAGATGTTCCAAACCTTTTATCATCTTTGTGGATATTCACTGGGCTTTTTTCAATATGTCAATTTCTCCACTACTGGGGAACTTAGTACTTGACAGATCACCCCAGATGTGCTTCACCAGTGCTGAGAAGAGAGGAAGGAACACCTCCCTCAACCTGTTGGTAACACTGTGACTAATACACCCCCAAGAACCTGTTTGCTTTCTTGTGCCTCAAGATCATACTGCTGGTTCATGGTCACATTTGTTGTCCACTAGGACCCCCACACCCTTCTCTACCAAGCTGCTTTTCATCTGGTTGGCCCCAGTTTATGATAATGCCTTGAATTATTCCTCCACAAATGCAGGACTTGATACTTCTTTTTCCTAAAGTTCATGAGGTCCTCATGGGTCCAATTCTGCAGACTGTTGAGGTCCTTCTGAATAGCACAACAGCACTGGTGGAATGTAATGTTATATGGTCAATAGAGTAGCCATGTGCCAATGGACTTGGACAGAAAATCAGTGGATAAGCTAAATTCAAACTGCTGCTGTTGCTGTTATTAGTATTATTCTTATTTTTGCTTATACTTGCCATAAGCCAGTAATAAATCAAGGCAAATCATCAATTGACACTTAAATGAAACAACAGTAAAGAAAAATAATGTAATATCATTTGAGACCAAATGAATCTCCATCATGAATGCTATGAAAAGAAAGAGAAGTGAAGATTTTTAAGGTCTTCCAAGAGATAGATGTTTTTCTACAACTACAATTTTTTTCACCAACTACTTGACTACACTTTCTCAACACTTGACAATCTGTTTCTTAAATAATCACAGTGATTTCCTGATATTAAAGTAAGGAAAAAAAAAATATAGACTTGTATTATTATTCCTTTT